CAAATGATTTTTCTAAAAACCAAGCCTAGAAACAGGTTTCCGGGGTGCCTTGCAAATTAGCATTCTTTACGCCAAAAGAAAGCATTCATCTTTTTAAAGGAAAGCATTCATCTTGCTAAAGGAATCCCCTCTTTTGGCCCAGCTCGTTATTTTGGTACTATCCAAATGTATAAGGTGTTAAGAGAAAGACTGAAGAAGAGTGAAATAAGAAAGTGCATGTATAAATTAACAGGGCAGAATTGGGACTGGTATGTGTAAATTAAGAGGAAACATGTATAGGTTTTACATGAACATAAAAAGGACTTGTTTCAACCAGACATCTCCATATAAATAATTGGGCTGTCTCTCATGGATAACAGACTTCATCACGAGAACATTCCAGCAGAATCATGAGAGAATGGGAAGTGTGGCTTCTTTCCCAACTGGCAGCTTAGACTGAGTAAGTCACTGAAGAGAAAGGAGATGAAGGAGTAGATGGATGAGGGTGACAGAAATAGGGTGGTGAAAGTAAAGAACTGCAAATAATGTTTTCTGAGGGCTCATCAGGTACCAGGCTCTGTGTCTAATGCCTTACACATCTTAGTTTACCCTTTCATGTAAATTTTCTGATGCAGTAAGAATCACTCTTGTGCTTCAGATGAGAAGAGGCTGAGAGAGGTGGAGTGAGTGGTCCAGGGTCATCCAGCCAGTTCATAGCAGAGCTGGTGTGTTTTACCCTCAACTTTGTGCACAGACAGAAAAGGCAGGCAAAGCAAATTTTTGTTGTGGGTGAAGTTTATAAAAGGTACCTGTGTTGGGCAGAATAATGACCTCCTAAAAATGTCCACATCCTAATCCCTGGAGCCAATGCATAATACTTTTATTTGGCAAAAAGACTTTCCAGATGTGATGAGGTTAAGAATCTTGAGATGGTGAGGTTATTCTGGATTATCTGCGTGGGCTCAGTGTAATCAGAAGGGTCCTTGTAAGGGAAAGAGGAAGGCAGGAGGGTCAGGGTGAGAATGATGCAGCCTGAGAGACTCCACTGGCCATTGCTGGCTGTGAACTCATATCAAAAGACAAAATTACAGCAGCTTTAGTTATAAATCTAATTGGCTTTTATTTGGGATTTATAATTTGGGGCAAGTCCCACTTTACAAATACAGTGCTAGTTCCCCTTTGGCAATACAATAAGAGAACAGTGGGTTTTGTCAAATTTGAACAAGAAAAGAGAGCAGTAGAAATAAATGTATTGTTAACATCAGGTTAATTCAGGTTACTTTTTTATAAAAATTAAAGTAAGGGGGACCTCAAGTAGATTGGAATCTCTTTTTTTTTTTTTTTTTTTCCTGAGGTGGAGTCTCACTCTGTCATCCAGGCTGGAGTGCGGTGGCGCAATCTTGGCTCACTGCAATCTTTGCCTCCCAAGTTCAAGCAATTCTCCTGCCTCAGCCTCCTGAATAGCTGGGATTACAGGTGTGTGCCACCACACCCAGCTAATTTTTGTATTTCTAGTAGAGACGGAATTTCACCATGTTGGTCAGGCTGGTCTCAAACTCCTGTCCTCGTTATCCGCCTGCCTCGCCCTCCCAAAGTGCTGGGATTATAGGCGTTAGCCACTGTGCCCGGCCATTTTTTTTTTTTTTTTATTGGTCTGTTTTCGGATCTATCTGCTTTCTTAAAATTTCAGTTGGAGTATGTAACATTTAACATCAGTGGCCCTATTTTGGAGTCTCTATACACTCACTTAGGTGAGAGTGTGACCAAAACTTAAAGTATTGACATTACTCTCGGCTACCATCATTTTGGGCTTCCATCATTCATAGGTTATGATGTCTTCCTGATCACACATTCCTTTGAGTTTTGTCACCAGCCAAAGAGAGACCATTTGACATTTGATGGATAGCTGCATGCAAACATTTAAAGCTTTTAGAGATTACAGCACACCAGGGAGACTACTAGTGTGACTATCAGGAGAATAATACCAAGAGTTTGGAGTATGCACCTTAGGCAAGATGCAAACCAACTAAAATGGAATAAAGAATGAGCCAGATGAATCTACCCATTTTAACCAAGCAGGATGTTTGTTAATTTCTGCAACCGAGTCTCTATATACCCATTGTATTTATTTATGTGCAACAAGAAGTGTCAGAAACAGCACAGGCTCTTTCCTGTTCAGCTAGTAGGTAGCAATTCTATTATCTAGCATCTCATGCCTGGGTTACATTAAAACAGGGAGTGAGAACAGGTGAGTCTAGAAGTGTAACTCTAAAAGGGACCACCGTACATTTGAACAAACGGTTGTATTAAAGATGCTGCTAATGTCAGCCATTGAGTGGACTAAAGGATCTCTTATGTAAAAATTTGGGAATGAGAGATCTGATACTCTGTTAAGCTACCCTCAGAAGATATTTCCTGTGAAATTCTAATGACAGCATTATCCTGCCAAGCGAAAGAGGCAGCAAAGAGCAAGGACAAATTAAGAGGAGTAGGAGCCTCATCATGGTGGGAAGCCTTGTTCTGACATCTTGAGAAAAGCTGTCCACAGTGTGAAGTTGTCAATTTCTTGTCCTGGTTTGCAGTTTCAGTGTCTCTAGTTATGGTGTTGAATATATTGGTGAGCTCTGAGTGGCCCACACCTTAGGCATGAGTGTTTTCTCATGAAATTTACATCGAGTTATCCATCTGTAGCTTATAGAGCTTCAGGAAGAGAGCAGACTTTGTTCTTAGTGATTCCATGACAGAAAATGGGATTGAAGAAAGTGAAAGAACGCAGGGTCCACTCTAGCCTACAGGTGGATAATAAAAACTAGTAACAATGTACAAAGTGACAGCCTCATAACAGGTGTACTATAGTTTTTCTTTTCAACATAATTTCTCTCCATAGGCATCTCTATTTCTACCAAAGATAATCCCAATAAGACAAATTTGTTTTCTTTTAAATAAGTTTATTTTCATCAAACTTGGCCTCATTCTTTTCATAACTGCAGCAAGAGTAGCGACTGACCACATGGACTTTTTTAAAGTTGCTTCACTGGAAGTGTTTATAGGGAATCTCAGATTAAACTTTTAGAAGTTTAGTTGACACTAGGAAGCCAATCCAAGGCTGACTTCAGACTTTGTCTGCAGTACCTATGGGTTTATTACCTATGGGTTTATATCCTCAAATATGACATTCTAGTCAAAGTCTTAGTAATATAATCAATGTTTTCAAATGTATTCTGTTATACAAAGAGCAGAGTTATTGAACTTGTGCAATAAACATATTACCATACAATATAAATATTCATGAATAGTTTCCCAAGTCTGGAGCTATCACATAGGGAGAAAATGTAAATATCTCAATGTTTGTTCACAAAAGTATATTTTATCAAATTGTTGTAAGCTGTAGATAGATCAAAGGAAAAAAAGTTTCCTGAAATCTGGGAAACAAGACATTTAAAGAATCAGCAAAATTTCAAATAAAAATTTATGAAAATATTATCCTCATTAGTTGATTTGGTCCCATGAAATTAATTATTTTCTCTGCTTGATCTTGGTCAGCAGTTTCGTGAAGCTGTCAGTTTGTTCATTAACGTTTTGGAAATTCTCAGACAGTCCAGTGGTATCAGAAACTTGCATTCAAGAGTGCAGGTCAGAGTCTTTTCTTTCATATATATATATATATATTTTTTTTTTATATGGAGTCTTGCTCTGTCGCCAGGCTGGAGTGCAGTGGCGCGATCTCGGCTGACTGCAATCTCCGCTTCCCAGGTTCAAGCGATTCTCCTGCCTCAGCCTCCCGAGTAGCTGGGACTACAGGAGCACGCCACCAAGCCCAGCTAATTCTGTAGAGATGGGGTTTCACCATATTGGCTAGGATGGTCTCGATCTCTGGTCAGAGTCTTTTCTATAAATATCCTTGGTAAAGAAGCGATTTTAGACTGTAGCTGTTGCAAATGCTTTAAGGAAGAATCAAAACAACTGTCTGTGAATGACAAAGATTTAAAATGAGTATGGTTAAAAATCTGATGAGAATTTATTATAATAAGAACACAACTCACATAGAAATGTAGTTACTTCTGTGGCATATGACATTATGGCTGACAACCTGTTAGATTTCTAGAATTTCTTATATAACTTTTGGAACACTCACATCAATAACATACCCATAAATATAACTTAAAGAAGGTTTAGCATCACTTATCATTTGACAGTGCTTCCCATATAATTTAACATGTCAAATAAGATGGCCTTTTCATTTAGCTTCTGTTTCTCAACTGGATTCCTGAGTTCCTGATGGAGCCCATTAATGAACAGGGCCAACAAAGTATAGGCTTATGTATGTTGAAAAATTCCATAGGCAATTCTAATACTCCTAGCTGAAAGTCATGGGTTTAGCCCCAAGTCCTACCTATTTAGAACAGGGTTTCTCCACCCTGGCTACACATTAGTAGCATCTGGGGAGGCTTAAAAATTATGAATGCCTGGGTCCCACTCCAGACCAGTAAATCAGAATTTAGGGGTGGGGCTTAAGTATCCATTTTATAAAATGTTTCTGAGTGATTCCCACGTGTAGCTATATTTTCCATCAGATTTCTCTGATTTCTTGTGACGTTCACTCCTTTCTATTTTGGTATTACGATTATTTTTCAGGTTTTGTCTCCTGTCATAGAATTAAGGACCTTGCCTTCTTCATTTCTGTATCTGCTATGAACACATGAATTGGTTATCAGGAAAAGGTTCTCAGCCACAGGTAGGTTGTGTCCTGAGCTTAAGACTCACATGTTAATGCTACAGTCTTTGTTCTTCATGAGGTCAGAAGTTGCTTGTGATGAAGGGTGTGGGTAACTCCACAGTGCAGATGGTGGAAGGAGGTCACCCTGTTTGACATGTTTTTAGGTGTAACATTGGAACTAAGAATTCTATGTTCATATGGGGTGGAGAGGCAGGGATGTGTAGGGAGATAGATCTAATTCGGATGATGGAATTATACAAGGGAGTGGTGGTAAAGGAATTGAGAAAGCTTAGTAAAGAGAAGAAATGTGAACTTATCTAATAGACCACAGTAGGTCCCTGTGTCTTCTTGAGTAGGCGAGTGAACTAGATTTTAGGAAGGTAATGAGGCAGTCATATGCAAGAAACATTTCAAAGACTGGCAACAAGGGGTCAAGCAGGACTTTGAGCAGTTGTTGAGGTTTATGGGAATGAAGAGAATGACACAAGTGAGAGATGTTAAAAAAGGACCAAGAGGCTTTGACAATGTATTGAATTTGGGAAACAAATGAGCAGAGGCTGGGGATAATTATGTCTAAGAGACAGTGGGGTACAGGGAGCATGAAGACCAGGGAAGAAGAGACCTGCAGGAATTAGTGCTGAGAAGCAGGAGCTTGGGGGTAGGAGGAGGAGATCCAGTCCCAGATACAGGCGAAGAAGTCCTTTCTCTCTCCCAAACATGGCAGTCAGCACTGCAGGAAACCGAACAAGAGGAAAGGCTGTCATACCTACCAGTCTTTCTTAATTGCAGAAACTACACCAGGGCTGCTACATCAGAGCAACCCCAACCAGCATTCCAATTATGATGCTGACAGTAGCCCTAGCTGAGAGACCAGAACTTCCAGGTGCTGAATCGCCTGTCATGGAAAGAAAAGAGAAGGAATGAATGTGATGTTATTTTGCAGTGGAGTGCCCCAGGTTCCATCTGTCAGCATGAAGTAGTCTCTACTTGTTCCTTCAAGGAATGCATTAGTTTTGTGGGAAGGTTGCAATTTTTTTTCTCTCTCACTGTGTTTCTAGTTGGTGATCAGTCTTCTGTCAATTCCACCCTGGCCTTTCTGCACTCAGATATTTCCGAAGGCCTTTGAAATTTGAGAAAGACTGATTGCTATTTTTGCATGGCATTAGAACTTTCTATCTTTTCATGGTTGCATCTTTTTCTCAGTGTCTTAGTTGTGGCAGGCAAAAATAAGAGTCTGTTGGGTCTCCATGGCAGGGACTTGATTGACAGAAAGCCCAGGCTAGTGCATTCTGTATTTACTGAGTCCGTTGCACAGAGAACTGGCTTCTCATGGGTTCCCAGCAGGGGAATGAAAAGCCCAGTTTTGGGAAACTTTGCTTCTCTCTCATGGGTGAGGGGCTTGAGGATGCCCCACCAGCCTTGTGGAAACTCTGAGAACTGCATCACTATCTAAAACTCTCTCCTCTTTCTCCTTTTCAGGAATCAGATCTGCATCGTGGTCTGAGGGCTGTCTTAGGCTCCTCCCACTTCCCACTTTTCCTCATGGTGGTTTTCTCCAGTAAATTATCTTGCATCTCTAATTCCATCTTGGTTGCATCTCAGTGGATGAAAACTAACATACCAGGCTTGATTCTTTGCACTTAACTTTTTTTCTCTCCCCCACTTTTAGCCAGTAACCATGTCCTAGTGTGTTTTCATTTGGGGCTTAGCTCTCACCAGTCAACTCAAGCTGGTGATTAATGCTATGTTAGCTACTTTAAATGCTTTTCTGGTATCTCATTTGATCCATACAATAACCCTGTTGGGTAGGCATGATTTCCATTTTACAGATGAAATGACAGAGGCTTGGAGTAGTGAAAAAACTTATCCAAAGTCAAATGATTAGTGAGAAGTGGATCTAGTCAGGCTCTAGAACTGCCTGACTTCAAGCTAATAATACCAGTAGTGATAATAGCAGCTAATATTTATGAAGTTTCCCTCGGTGTGTGGCATTTTGCTGAAGGCTTAATCGAATATTACGTTAAATCTTTAAAACAATACTATTGAACAGTCACTCTTATTGCAATTTTCCTTTTTCCCTCCATTTCCTGGTGATGAGAATTATTACAATTTTCAGTTGAAGAACTGAAGGCTCAGAGAAGTTAAGAATCTTGTGTGAGAAATTTAAAATGGTAAATACGTTAAAAATAAAGAGAGATCTCATATTAACAACCTAACTTTACAACTTCAGGATATAGAAAAGGAACCACCTCAAACCACAGATAGTACATGAAGGAAATAAGGATTAGAGTTGAAATAAATAAAATGGAAAATGGAAAACAATAGAAGGAATCAATGAAACCAAAAGTTGGTTCTTCAAAAAAGATCAACAAAATTGACAGTCATTTATTAGACTGGCTAAGAAAAAAGAGAGAAGATTCGAATTACTAAAATCAGAAATGAAAATGGAGGTATGGTGGCTTACATAATTAATCCCAGCACCTTGGGAGACTCAAGCAGGAAGATTGCTGGAGGTCAGGAGGGCGAGACCAGCCTAGGCAACATAGGGAGACAGTCTCTACAGAATTTCTTAGAAAACTATCCAGACATGGTGGCACATGTCTGTAGTACCAGCCTCTCAAGAGACGGGGATAGGAGGATCACTTGAGCACAGGAGTTGAGGCTGCAGTAAGTTGTGATGGTACTACTGCACTCTAGCTTGGGCTGGGCTACAGAGTGAGACCCTGTCTCTTGAAAAAAAAAAAAAAAAAGAAAAAATATTGAGATATTGCCAGCAATGCTACAAATTCTACAGAAATATTAAGGACTACAAGAGTGCTATGAATAATTGTATGCCAGCAAACTGTTGAATGACCAAGATGAAATGGACAAATTCCTGGAAACACACAAAAAATTTAATTTTAATAGACCTATAATTAGATAGAACCAATAAAAGCATTTGGCAAAATTCACCACTCTTTCATAACAAAAACACTCCAATTATGAATGGAAAGAAACCACCTCAGCATAATAAAGGCAATATGTGGAAAGCCCAATGCTAACATGATACTCAGTGGAGAAAGACTGAAAGCTTTCCCTGTAAGATCAGGAACAAGACAAGAATGCCTGCTTTTGCCACATCTATCCAACATAGTATTAGAAATCCTAGCCAGAGAAATTAGGCAAGGAAAAAAAGACATCCAAATTGGAAAGAAGAAGTAAAATGATCTCTGTTATCAGATAACTTGAACTTATATGTAGAAAACCCTAAAGATTAAAAGAACCTGTCAGAGTTAATAAATAAATTTGGTAATGTTGCAGGATACAAAATCAACATGCAAACATCAGTTGTACTTCTATATATTAACAATGAACAATCTAAAAGGAAATTAAGAAAAAATTTCCAATTTACATTAACATAAAATAGTATAAAATAGTTAGAAATAAGTTTAACCAAGGAGGTGAAAGGATTGTACCCTGAAAACTATAAAACATTGCTGAAAGAAATTAAAGACAACATCAATAAATGGAAAGACATTTTTTTTTTCATGAATGGGAAAACTCAATATTGTTAGGAGGACAATACTGCCCACAGTGAGCTGCAGGTTCAATGCAATTCCTACCAGAGTCCCACTGACATTTTTTGCAGAAACAGAAAAACCTATCCTAAAATTCATATGGACTCTCAGGACTCTAAATAGCCAAACAACCTGGAAAATAAAGAACGAAGCTGGAGGACTCACACTGCCTGATTTCAGCGTTTGCTATAAAGCCACAGTAATCAATGCAGTGTGGTACTGGCAGAAAGGAAGATATTGAAACCAATGGAATAGAATATAGAGCCCAGAAAGAAACGCTTGCATATATGGCCAAATTATTTTTGACAAGGGTGCCAAGACCATTTAATGGGGAAAGGATATTTGTTTCAATAAATGATATGGGGAAAGCTGAATACCCATGCACAAGAACAAGTTGAATCTTTGCCTGACACCATATATGAAAATTAACCTAAAATGGATCAAAGACCTAAATGTAAGAGTGAAAAGTATAAAACTCTGAGAAGAAAACAGGGAAAAAAGCTTAATGACATTTAATTTCATGGTGATATCTTGGTTATAACAAGTAGACACCAAAAGAAAAACATGGATAAACTGGACTTCATGAAAATTAAAAACTTTTTTTTTTTTTAATTGGAGTCTCGCTCTGTTGCCCAGGCTGGAGTGCAGTGGCGTGATCTAGGCTCACTGCAAGCTCCGCCTCCCGGGTTCATGCCATTCTCCTGCCTCAGCCTCCCGAGTAACTGGAACTATAGGCACCTGCCACCACACTGGGCTAATTTTTTTTGGTATTTTTGGTAGAGATGGAGTTTCACCATGTTAGCCAGAAGGGTCTTGATATCCTGACCTCATGATCCACCCACCTTGGCCTCCCAAAGTGCTGGGATTACAGGCATGAGCCACTGTGCCCAGCCTCGAAAATTAAAAACTTTTATATATCAAAGAACATTATCGAGAAAGTGAAAAGGCAACCTATGAAATGGGAAAAATATTTGCAAATCATATATCTGATAGGGAATTAATTTCCAGAATATATGAAGAACTATTACAAATCAACAACCACAAAAATCCAAAAACCCAATTAATAAATCGACGAAGGACTAAAGTAGAGATTTCTCCAAGGAAGAGATACAAGTGGCCAACAAGTACATGCAAATATGCTCAACATCACTAACACTTAGAGATATGCAAATCAAAGCCACAATGATACTCCACCTCACACGCATCAGGATGGCTACAAAACAGTAAGTGTTTTCAAGGAGGTTGAAAAATTGGAACTCTAGTGCATTGCTGAGAGAAATGTGAAATATTAGTGCCTATGGAAAATGGTATGGTGGTTCCTCAAAAAATTAAAAAAATAATTAACATTTGATCCACCAATTCCACTTCTGGACATACACCAAAAAGAATTGAAAGCAGCAATTTGAACCGACATTTGTATACTGATGTTCACAGCAGCATTACTCACAATAGCCAAAAGATGGGAACAACTGAAAAGTCCATTGAAAGATAAGTGGATAGAAAAATGAGGTATGTCCATACAATGGAATGTTATTCAATCTTAACAAGGAATAAAATTGTGATACATAGTGCAAAATGGATGAACCTTGAAGACGTTATACTAAGTGAAATACAGCAGATACAAAAGGACAACTATTATATAATTCCATGTATGTAAGCTCATTAGAATAGTTGATTACCTAGAGACAGAAAGTAGAATGGAGGTTACCAGGGTTTAGGGGGAGAAGGAGTGAGAGTTACTGTTTATCGGGTACAGAGGTTTAGTATGTTAAGATGAAAAAGTTCTGGAAATGGATACTGTGAAGGTTACACAAGAGTATAAAGATACTTGATTTATTTTTCCTTTTTTTTTGTGACAAGAGTATCACTCTGTCACCCAGCCTGGAGTGCAGTGGCACAATCTTGGCTCACTGCAACCTCCGCCACCCAGGTTCAAGCAATTCTCCTGCCTCAGCCTCCCTAATAGCTGGGATTACAGGCATCTGCCACCATGCCTAGCTATTTTTTTTTTTTTTTTTTTTTTTTTGTATCTTGAACTCCTGACCTCAAGTGATCCACTTGCCTTGGCTTCCCAAAGTGCTGGGATTACAGGCATGAGCCACCACACCGGGCAATATACTTGATTGATATTTATGCTGTGTCACTTAACTGTACACTTAGAAATGGTTAATGGTAAGTTTTATGTTAGATATATATACTGGCTGGTGGACTTACCCTCTCTATAAATACACACTTTCTGGCACTGCCCCTTCCCTCCCATGCAGAGCCTCTGTGGCTGAATCTCCCTATTTCTCCAAGTGTGTGCCACTCACTGTCCTCTGTGCTATGTCCCATGTGCTGGGTCCACAGCCTCATACAGTGACTTCAGAGCCAGGACACAGCTCAGGAGTCTGTCCCGAGGCTCCCTTTTTTCCCATTTCCCTACAACCTGACCCAAGGGAGGCTCTGCTGTGGATTGGCAGCTCGATTTCACCAGATTCAGAACAGGCCACCTTTACACCTTCTCCACATGCCCCGGTCCCACCCCAAGTGGAGCCAGGGCAGAGCCAGTCACCAGGTGAGCCAGGCGCAGAGCAGGAAGCAGAGTCTGAGTTGCTCCTCCCTCATCCAAGGGGCTTCCTCCTCTCATTTGGGGAAAAAGTGTGAGCTTGTTTCAAAACCTCCTTGTTCCTTGTAGCTCATAGAGTAGGTTAAAAAAACACAAAGAGGTGACAGAAAGGGACATATTGGTGATAGAGAGGAGAAACTCGACCTTAAAGACCCTTCTTTCTCCTGGACTATGAAGCCCCTTTCACTATAGGGGGCCTTCTGGGGCTAAGGGAGCCCCCTCCCCACATTCCAGGCTGGACCCGAGGTCAGCCATGAGATATCAGAGAAGCCGGGGAGGAGAGAGTCGGCCGAGATGGAGTGAGAGGGCTCAGGGTAGAATTTGGGATTTCCTTGTGCCCATGGAACACAGACTGGGCAAGAAAATGTCTTCTCGGCTCTTTTGTGAGAACCAGATAGACTCCACCCCAAAACATGATGCTGGTGCTCCAGGGAGGCCACTTACCAGAGGAGACTGAGATGTTCTTGACTATGGAGTTATTGCGACCAGTAGCCAAGTTAGAGACAAAACAGGCATAGGCCCCGTTGTTGTTGGATGTGATTTTGGAGATAAAGAGAACTTGTGTGTGTTGCCGCAGTGTCCCATTGATAAGCCAAGAATACTGCGGGGATGGGTTAGAGTCCGAGTGGCAGGAGAGGTTGAGGTTTGCTCCCGAACGGTAAGACAAGTCTGGGGGGGATATGATGGGGGTGTCCGGGCCATCTGGAACAAAGAGAACAAAGCCACATGTGATGTCATCAGAGGAAAGGGGAAGCTCCTGATTGTAGAAGGGTCACAGTGTCCTTCTGAGTCCTGTCCCAATCCTGTGTTAAAAAGTCCAAACCATAACCCTCATGTCCCCTGAGTCTGGGTCTGAGACATTCACCTGTTTCTCCCATCACAGGCTGTGGACCCTGAGCCTCCCAAGACAGGAGCAGCTCCTCCCTCCTATTCTTGGTCCAGGCTGGGTTTGCCCTAGTTTTTCCAGGGCAGGAAGCTATGGCCAGCCTGGGTGTCCAGGACTGGCGGTCTGCATCTTTGGACCTGAGGAGAGCTGAGAGTCCTAACCTCTGGCTGTATGGATTTGGGTTGGAAACCAGGGCCACAGAGGAACAGAAGATACTCACAGGTGACATTCAGGGTGACTGGGTCACTGCGTTTTGCACTCTCTGAGTTCTGGATTCCACATTCATAGGGTCCTGTGTCATTCCGTGTGACACTGAGTAGAGTGAGGATCCTGTTGCCATTGGAGAGCTGCAGCCTGGGACTGACCGAGAGGCTCTGATTGTTTACCCACCACAGGTAGGTTGTGTTCTCAGCCACAGGTTCACAGGTTAAGGTCACAGCATCCTTGTCCTCTATGGGGTTGGAGTTGTTGCTGGAGATGTAGGGCTTGGGCAGCTCCACTGTGCAGATAACAGAGAAGATTGCCCTGTGTGGCACCTTTGATTCCTCCACAGGCATCTTTCAATCAGAGTTGGCATCTCCCACCCCTCAGCCCACCTGAGTCCTTAAAAGCCCAAGGCAGGTGTGTGTGTGTCACAAGACAGATGCACAATGATCTGAGGGCTCAGAGACTGTAAGGCCGGCTGCTTTGTGTGGGAGAAGCACAGACTTCTCTCAAGTGTGAATTGGGCAGTAGCATTAGGTTGTGGACAGACACAGGACTGGGGGTCACAGCCCCCAGCACTTCTGGTCCTTTCCTGACTGGCTGGCTGCCTGGCCCATTGGGGTCCTCACCTGGAATTAGAAGGAGCTGAGTTTCTTCCAGCTGCACAATCCCACACCACCCAGCCAAGGTGTGTTCTCTCTGAGGCTTTGCTATTTAAGGACATCCTAGAGATGGGTGATGATGGGGACGGGTGTTTGAGCAGAAATAGCGCAGGAGACTAGGAGCAAGTCTAAAGGTGACAAGTCAAGGGTCAGACTGTGGGCCACAGGTGGGACAGCTCTGCCCAGGAGTTTGATGGGAACAGAGTTTCATTTTGGGAGGAAGAAGAGTTGTGTGGACAGATGGTGGTGATGGTAGCAGAACAAGGGGAATATATTTAATACCACTGAACTGCACGTGTAGAAAGGTTAAGATGGTAAGTCTGTGATAGATATGCACTGTTACCCTCTGTATAAATACACAATTTTTGACACTGCCCATTCCCTGCCATGCAGAGCCCCTGTGGTACATCTCCTGATTTCTCCAAGTGTGGGTCGCTCGCTGTCCCCTGTGCTGTGTCCCATGTACTGTGCCCACAGCCTCATATACCTGATGACGTCAGAGCCAGGACACAGCTCAGGAGCCTGCCCTGAGGCTCCCTTTCTTTCCATTTTCCTGCAGCCTGACTGAGACGACGGGAGGCTTTGGTGTTGATTGGCAGCTTGATTTAGCCTAATTCAGGACAGACCACCCGGGCTCCTTCTCCACACACGTGGGTCCCACCCCAGGTGGAGTCAGACAAGGCCAGTCACGGTGGGGGGGAGCCCAGAGCAGAGCAGGGAGCAGAGTCTGAGCTGTTTCTCCCTTACCCAAGGGGCTTCCTTCTCTCATTTGGGAAAAAAGTATGAGCTTGTTTCAAAGCCTCGAATGTTCCTTGCAGTTCACGGAGTAGGTAAAAGAACACAAAGAGGTGATAGAAAGGGACAGATTGGTGACAGAGAGAAGCAACTTGACCTTGAGAACCCTTGCTCCTTCCCACTCTGTGAAGCTTCCTCCACTACACAGGGCTCGGGGGCTGAGGGAGCCTCCTCCCCACATTCCAGGCCGGACCCGGGGTCAGCCATGAGAAATCAGAACAACACGGAGAAGACAGTCTGTAGAGACACACTGGGGAGGTCCAGCGGGAGAATCTGGGATTTGCTTGTGCCCATTGGACACAGGCTGGGATAGAGAATTTCTTCCTGGCTCTTCTCTGAAAACCAGACAGACTCCACCTCAAAACGTGATGTCAGCGCTCCTGGATCCACTTACCATAGACTGTGATCGCCGTGACTGTGGTCCTATTGAGGCCAGTGGCTGAGTTATGGGCTTGGCACATATAGGATCCGCTATTATTCACGGTGATGTTGGGGATAAAGAGCTCTTGTGCGGATTGCTGGAACGTCCCATTGACAAACCAAGAGTACTGTGCAGCTGGGTTAGAGGCTGCGTGGCAGGTGAGGTTCAGATTTTCCCCTGCTCTGTAAGATGTGTTTAGAGGGGAAATGGTGGGCGCATCCGGGCCATCTGGAGCAAAGAGAATAAAGCCACAGGTGAGGTTGTCAGAGGGAAGTGGAAGTTCCTGGTCTATGGAAGGACCACGGTGTCCCTCTAAGCTGAGTCACAACCCTAAAGTCTCAACCAAACCCCTCTTGTATCTACTGAGCCTGAGTCTGAGACATTCACCTGTTTCTCCCATCACAGGGTGTGGACCCCGAGCCTCCCAGGACAGGAGCAGCCCCTCCCCTCCTATTCTTGATCAAGACTTGGTCTGCCCAGGTTTTTCTGGGGCAGAAAGTCACAGACAGTCTGGATGTCCAGGGGTGAGGGTCTGTGTACTTGAACCTGAGAGGGACTGAGAGGCCCGGCCTCTGACCCTGTGGATTTGGGCCGGCAGCCTGGGCCAGAGAGGAGCAGAGATACTCACAGAGGACATTCAGGGTGACTGACTCGCTGCGTCTGACACTCACTGGGTTCTGGGTTTCACATTCGTAGGATGTTGTGTCATTTCTTGGAATATTGAATAGAGTGAGGGTCCTGTTGTCACTGGACAGCTCCAGCCTGGGACTGACCGGGAGACTCTGATTGTTTACCCACCACAGGTAGGTTGTGTCCTGAGTCTCAGGTTCACAGGTTAAGGTCACAGCATCCTTGTCCTCTATGGGGTTGGAGTTGTTGCTGGAGATGTAGGGCTTGGGCAGCTCCGCTGTGCAGATAACATAGAGAAGATTGCCCTGTGTGGCACCTTTGATTCCTCACAGGCATCTTTCAATCAGAGTTGGCATCTCCCACCCCTCAGCCCACCTGAGTCCTTATAAGCCCAGGGCAGGTGTGTGTGTCACAAGACAGATGCACAATGATCTGAGGGCTCAGAGACTGTAAGGCCGGCTGCTTTGTGTGGGAGAAGCACAGACTTTCTCAACTGTGAATAGAGCAGAAGCTGTCTCTTATACACATCTAGATGTGTATAAGAGACAGGCCTGGGACTGACCGAGAGGCTCTGATTGTTTACCCACCACAGGTAGGTTGTGTTCTCAGCCACAGGTTCACAGGTTAAGGTCACAGCATCCTTG